CATTGATGAGCATAAGAGACTCCATTTAAAAAAAAAAAAACATTACAAATCTAAAAGATATGCCTGTGTGTGTGTGTGAGTGTGTGTGTGTATATATATATAATAGGCCAGTGTGTGTATCCCTTATTCTGTCCCTTATTTTTCTATGAAAAACCACGATTGTCCCTTATTTTCCTTTTCTGAAGTTGGCAACCCTAACAGTGCCATCTGTTCAATAATAAAGTTCAACATAAACATATAGGCTACTAACTACTAATAAAGTGGGGGTATATATGCTTTTATCTGTGTTTTTTGATAAAAATGATTCAAGATAACAGTGCAACTACACTAAAAAAGCTTTTACTGTTATAAAAACACAGATTTGTGAGTATTATTGGAATTGAATTGTAAGAATAAACACACAACACGTTGTGCTTGTCATCACAGAATCTAACCAATGAGAATAAAGTGTGTCGTCATCAAGGCTTTCACAGCTGATTTTGAGCAACTGCATTCTGGTCTCGTTTTGCTCTCGCGGTACTTTGGCACATTTGATCGTAAGGCGGCTGCAGCACTGATCGAAGTCGGACAAATGTTCTAACCAGAATGCATTGCTTTTGTCAGGCGGCAGACAATCATTGCGGAGCTACATTAAGTCGAACAAGCCTATTTATATCAAACAAAGAGGGTCACATGACAAGAACCTACCAATGAAAAACAAGACACATGACTAAGACAACCAATGAGAGCATGACACATACACAAGGTAGGAATACATAAGGATCAAGGGAATCAAATGACTAGACAGGAACAATGACTATGACAAAATAAGAGACATGAAAACAATGAACATGAAACAAAACCCCAAAACAGACATGGCATTACTTTAATGTCTTCCAAGAGGAATTATTTTACCACTGATTGGCCAACGCAGAAGTTCCTTTCACCAATTAGAAGCTTGGCTGAAAGCAGCACCAGCGCCACCTGTGGGCGGGACTTATCAATGTGCCGCTACTATTGGCTCTTAGGGAAGTCTGTCAATGATTGGATGAAGCTTTTTTCCCTCCTGGAACACTCCTTTTTCCTTTAATTGACTTTCTTAAACTTTTAAACTATATATACTTATGTTTTTTTAACTTCTTACTGGCTGCCTGGGTTACCTGGGCTAAAAAGCCTTAATTAACTCAGCAAAAAAGAGTGGGAAACCCCTGCCAATTAAATAAAATTTAGCTAAAGGCTGAATATTTCTGTTTTAATTTGATTTATTGGGGTCTTTTATGCATTTTATGTACCTTTTCGCAAAATTAAAGTAGTCGGAATTATGTTGTTAAAGTTTGAGAAATAGATTGTTCCTGTTTATCTGATGGTTTTCAGTAAAAAAAAATAAATAAATAAATAAAAAGATTTCATAACTGCATGTGTTGTTTTTCTTTGCATGTCCCAGCATTATTAGCAAGTTTAAATAAGAATCCTATAGTTTTATTCTGCATGTAATAAATGACCTAAACTAAAATGAACAAAACATTTTTTATTAACTAACATCAGCATTGATTAATAAATGCTATACAATATATTATTCATTGTTAGTTCCTGTTACTTAATGCATTAACCAATGTTATCAAATTAAACCTTACTGCCCTCTTGCTGAGAAATGGTATTTGCACATTGTCGTTTACAGCACGTGGGGTGCACAACTAAAGAAAATCAAACTTTCTGAGTAGCTGTAATGTGCCGAACAAGATGACTGGATCTACATTGCTGTATTCTGAAATCATTTGTTGCATCCATAATAATGGTTTGAATTTAAGTATATTAATCACATTACTGTAGGCATGAACAAAAATGTTTTACACCTGTAAAAACATACATTTTCCTCAAAAAATATTTCACAGACACTGCAGAGTAGTTACAGTTGAAGTTACAATATTGCAATTAAAGTGTGTACTTACAAACTGTACTTACAACTTACATATACAAGACAAGTACACTATTATAACTACAGACTGAAGATGCAGGTACTTTAAATGTAAGTACAATTAAAGAACATGAAGGTACAGCGTAAGTACACTGTATCAAGTGCTTAATGTGTCATGTAAGTTATACGGTTGTATACTAGTTATACATAGTTGTTAAGGACACCTAATATAAAGTGGGACCAACAAGAGAGTAGCCTAGTGTTTTAGTTTGCCCTCCTCCCCCTGGATACAGCAGTGTCACAGTGAGGGTTAAGTTCTGAGTGGAGGATGTGTTTATCAAACTGAAACTAAGCTTTAGCCTGCACTCATTCACCTCGGCTGAAGTTCCTCTGTCATCGACAAACATGGAGCTGTATCTGGCCATTCTTACCCTCACTGCTTTTCTCTCAGCCGATGCTCAGTGTAAGTTCATTCTTTGCATATTAACATATTTACACAGATTTTTAATATGAAAAGCCTGTACACTGATGTAATATTTTCAAGAAGAACACTAATTCCTTAAGTGATATACACTACCGTTCAAAAGTTTGGCATCAGTACAATTTTTAATTTTTTTTTTTTTAAGAAGTTATGCTCATCAAGGCTGCATTTATTTGATAAAAACTTATATTTTAATATATTGTAAACTGTAATTTATTCCTGTGATGCACATCTGTATTTTCAGCATCATTACTCCAGTCTTCAGTGTCACATGATCTTCAGAAATCATTCTGATCCACCTTGAAGTAAGCCTATGTGCGAGAGAGGTTCAGTAGCCGCTGTAGGGAAATAACCAGAACAATAACCACCTGCAGTAAAACTCTTGCACTTACAAACCAGTGTGTTCATAATTAAGACAATACATTAAAATAATATGTTAAGACACAGCAATTCTCAATATCAAGCTACAAAATGAGTGGTTTTGTAAAAATAGCGGGACACGGATGACACCGGAAGCAAGACACATTACATTTACAAATGTTTGCGCTCGCTCTTATGGGAGGAAAAAGCTGGATATGCTGATTTATTGATGTTGATTGCTGCTTAATATTTTAATGAAACCCGTGGTACTTTCTAAGTCTAAAAGCATTTATTCAAAATATAAATCTTTCCTAACTGTGCAAATCTTTACTATCACTTTTTATTAATCCAACTCATTCTTGCTGAATAAAAAAGTATTAATTTATTTAAAAAAGAAAATAGTAAATAGTGACCCCAAACTTTTGAATGGTGGTGTACATTGTTACAAAAGATTTCTAAATGCACTTTTTGGCAACACTTTATTTTAAAGTGTCCTTGTTACATGTATTTACGATTATAATAACAAAAAAAAAATGCATAATTACATGCAGGTAACCCTAATCATAACACTAATCTTAACCATATCGTAAGTGCATATGGTCTATTATTATTACTCAGTACTTAATTGTATAATTACACTGTAACAAGGACACCTTAAAATAAAGTGTAACCCTGTTGTATATTTACTTCGATCACCATGTTAGGTTTGGTAGTTAACTAGTCATCAGCTGTTTGACTGGTCAGTGGTTGACTATACGTGGTCATTTAGCATATTGGGTGTTAACAACACCTGTATAGAACATCTTCACATTTAGAAACGACTGGTGCTTTAAATAATTGACAAAAAAAAAAAAGTTTTGTGTTAATTCCCAAAACACATTAGTTATATCTGATATGCAGTTAATTTGTCTGGGACTCTGTGAATTTCTCATTTATCTGTTGATGCTTCTTCCGTTTCAGTAGAGCATAAGGATTTCTCAATCACTGGATGTTCTGAAACAGAGAAAGAGTCTATGACTGGATCTGACGGAGAGGAAGCGTGGCATGCTGACTTTAATCAGAAGACAGGAGTAGTTACATTACCTGATTTCGCAGATCCTATGAGCTTTCCAGGATATTATGAAGAAAGTGTTGCAAAGCAAGAAGTATGCAAACAAAACCTGGCTGTACTCATTAAAGCTTACGAGAGCCCACCAGAGGAAATGGGTACGACATGAATTTGCATTGTGAAGCTTTTTTAAAGTACAGTTTTGCATGAGTTTTACAGTAATGCATTTCTTTAACAGAAATTAAATGAGCTACATTTTTATGCATTCAGTGTTTACAATATTTTGGTTAACCATGAGTTTTGGCTTGCAATTGTATTAAACATGTATGATATCAGTGTTCTTATGCACGCATTTCATTTGAATGAGGTCAGATGTACTGCTGCAGAGTTCAACACAGTTATGTGTGTTCACAGACCCTCCTGAGACGTTCATCTATCCGAGGAACGATGTGCAGCTGGCTGTTGAAAACACGCTCATCTGTCACGTGACGGGCTTCTTTCCTCCACCTGTCAGCGTCTCATGGGCTAAGAACAATGTGATTGTGACAGAAGACGTGAGTCTGAGTCAGTACCGGCCGAGGAGCGACGGATCCTTCCACGTGTTCTCCTCCCTGAAGATCACTCCTGAAGATGGAGACGTTTACAGCTGCACAGTGAACCACCGAGCGCTCCAGGGCCAACCGCAGACCAGAATATGGAGTAAGAGCCATTTACAAAGAGAATCAAATGAGTTGATTTAAAAACAGCAGCATTGATTCTGTGACAAATGAAATAGCAAGCGCTGAGAGGATTGTTAGAGTGAAAGTGCATCTGCTCAGCAGCTGTTCTCACATTCACATTCATACACTGAATTCATTTATACAACAGTTCGTTCTGGTTCTCAAATCTGATTGGTTGAGAACCGTGAGATATTGTACTGGTATCGCTACAGGAACGCCCTTTCACAATTTTGTATCACTCCGCTTGTTCTATCCGGGTCTATGTTTTTTTTTAATTATTCACTGAGCTAATCGTAGAGTACGTTAGTTAATATAAGAAGAAACGACTAGCTTCGCGGTCTCTCTCTCATTCAGATGCACATCTTGCCGCATTGTTTCTCTCTTATAACCTCATTATTTCTCACTAATAACCTAACTGAAGCAGCACATGCCCTTGATACCAATTCTAAAAGTGGCGTATGTTTAACTGTCAACTTTAGCTTTGAATCCGTGGCGGAAGGAAGTAGTTCCACACAAAAGAGGGTTTTATTAGGCACTCCGTTGTTTCTTGTTTAATTACACACATGTTCCGTCGAACTGTTGTATAACCGCAATATCACTCTCGTACTCGAGCGATACCGGCTCTATATCAGCTGCCTCGTGCCTAATCACAGCCGCTGATATAGAGCCGGCATCGCTCTCGTACTCGAGTGCTATTGCTCATATAACATATACCTCTAATCTCCAGGTGTCCCGGAGGCGGCTGCTGTCCTGCCCAGCCTGGGTCCGGCGCTCTTCTGTGGAGTGGGATTGACTCTGGGGCTGCTGGGAGTCGCTACTGGACTCTTCTTCCTCATTAAAGCAACTACGACTGACACGCCAGACATGGCCAAAAACATCAAACATTTAATGCAGTGGACCCAATCAAAGACAGTTTCTCCAGGATTCTGAAGACGGTACATGTGCAGTTCATCAGAAGTAATCTAAAGAAATCGGAATCTTACTTAATAATAAAAATAAGACACTTTTGCTACCTTCATGCTAAATGTAAGTGATTTTGTCATGAACTGAAATGTTACATTTTTTGTACTTAAAATTATGCCAATAAAAATTAAACATGTTTCAGAAACTTTCACTTTTATAAAGCTTTATTAATAAAAAGCTGTTATAAATAAAGCGTGCAGGGACATACAGAAGGGTATTTTACAGTGATATAAAGCAGTCACTTTAGAAAAACCTACAAATGATTTTCATAACAGCTTATTTATGCATGTGTATTTGAATGCTTAGACTAGGGTGACCATACGTGCCATTTTCCCAGGACGCGTCCTGGCCAGGATTTGTTTTGGCTTTGTTTTCCTGTTTCATGCTTGCTGAAGGTAATGATCGAAAAGTAGTTTGACCAATAACATGCAAGCATTGTACATAATGGACCAATCATGGCGTGTGAGAAGGTGGGATCTACGGTCAAAGCGATGCAATTACGCGAACATATTAGGTGTGTTCGACTTAAAAGCAGTGCGGCTCAGACCGATCAGTGTTTGACATCAAAGTACCTCGAGAGCGTTTCGAAAGCATAACCGTCTGTATGGTACTTTGATGTCATACACCGATCGGTCTGCACACGCAAACAAAGCCAAAACCTAGATATTTTAGGCAATATAGAAATCCTGGCCAGGACGCGTCCGGGGAAAATGGCATGTATGGTCACCCTAGCTTAGACATTATATTTAACTGGTTGTTTAATCTGATTAAATTGATTTACATATCATCTAATGCACTTTTTTACATTTACAAATGTTAGTAGTTTTAAGCACTTCATGACATTTGTAAGCATTCAAATGCATATTAACCCTTTCACACGTAAGTTTAATGTCTGCATACAATCAAAATGTACAATATTTCTTTTGTTCGCCCATTGCTAGTCTTAAGGTAAACAATTAATTTGTGCAAGTTAATCCACTGAAAAATTTGTCTTGGTAATCTTTAATCAAAATCTGATCATTTGCGTCTGCTCTGCGAGTAAAAGATGAAAGGAGGAGGGCAAAAATAAAACCCGCCCTCTACTTGATATTCCGTTTCCATACATCACCATACTGAAATAAAGTCGGCAGCAGCTTCCGGTTCACACAGACTTTAAAATATTCTAGCTGAGCCCCAGCGTTAGTGTTACGTCCATAGGGACGTATATTTATTAATTATTTGTAATACCATTATTGTTCTTGAATTTGTTTCATTGTTGTTAACAAAGGTGTGGGCGTGTTTGTCTTTGCTCTGTCTCTCTCTGCTGCTCCTCAGGGCAAATCACCACCACCTGTAGCTCGTTTGTGAGAGCGTGCCCAAGAGGATCCTGAGTTTGCTAGCAGACACTTCTCCCCTGCTCCAGACTGAACTTTGTGCTTGTTTTTCATGCAGAGACAATGGTTGTGTATTAGCAGTGGCTAATTGAGTTTCAGCATGCACAGTTAATGGATATTGTTCCAGGTTGAGATTGATCAAAAGGTCTTGGGGCTCTTTTGTCTCGAGTGATTTTAAATACTAGCCTGTGTGTTAAGAGGGATGCTGTAGGGGGAGAGTGCCTTTTTCTTTTTATACTGCTTTTTGCCTCTGTTTTTGTACAGCAAGGGAGGTGAGGGAAGTTGGCTGTTCATTTCTTTTCTTTTCTTTAAGGTTAGTTAGAGCTCCTTCTTAAATTAGTTAGTGAACTATTTTGTTTGTTATTTTAGGCCTTGCTTTTCCCTGAGCCTTTGCTCCCATCGTTCTTTTCTGTCTTGTAAATAAAATTATTTCTGTTTATATATATCGACTGATGTCATCTTCACTCTGGGCCAGAGGACTGAAGTGTGTTCTCGCTTTTCGTTTCCTTGAAACTTTTTTTTTTTCTTCTCTTTGTTACTTCCCTGGATTAAATACGGGGGAACGTAACAAGTGGGGGCTTGTCCCATCCTTTTTTCTAATTTAGTTGTGAGTAGCATTTTTCCCTGAGCCTTTGCTCCCATCGTTCTTTTCTGTCTTGTAAATAAAATTATTTCTGTTTATATATATCAACTGATGTCATCTTCACTCTGGGCCAGAGGACTGAAGTGTGTTCTCGCTTTTCGTTTCCTCGATACTTTTTTTTTTTCTTCTCTTTGTTACTTCCCTGGATTAAATACGGGGGAACGTAACAAGTGGGGGCTTGTCCCATACTTTTTTCTAATTTAGTTGTGAGTAGCATTTTTCTCTTTTCTCTCTAATCGCGTGTTTTGGCTTTTTGTGTGGGGAGGAAGGTGACTGTGGTGATAGAAATGGAGTTTGACCCTTGAGGATGAAGAACGTCCTGTAGTTCCAGCAGAGGCCGTGACTGAGGACATTCTTCCTGATACAGATATTGTTGAGAATGACAATTATGATCCGGTCCTGGCCATTCGTTTAAAAGAGTTAGACCTCAGAGTTAAACCGCACGTCTAGATTTGCAAGCTGGGGAGATGAGCAGGAAACCTGTTCCTGTCCCACGCTCCAGGCCTCCTTCTGTTCCCACTGCCTCTCCTATTCCGCCTGTTAATGCAAGTGTTGATCAGGAAAACCTTGAGTTTGACGTTAGTAAGTATATCAAACTCGTACCTCCTTTTTGTGAGTCTGAGGTCGATGCTTACTTTGTTGCTTTTAAGTGGGTAGCAGGTAAGCTTAGATGGTCGAAGGACATGTGGGCATTGTTCCTACAATGCAGTCTGACCGGCAAAGCTCAAGAAATTTGCACGGCATTGCCAATTGAGCGAAGTCTTGATTATGACATCGTTAAAGCCGCTGTTCTCAGGTCATACGAATTGTTTTTTTTTAAGGAGACCATTATTTTCGATTCAATGCAATGCAATCAATGGAAAAATTATGATGCTATGCATTTCCACATTATCTGCACTGACAATGTGTCTGCGCTTCAAGTGTGTTGTTAAATTAGTCGTACTGAATGTATATTTTATAGCGGCATGACATATTTTACAAATTGCATGGGTTTTATCAAAATCCCCATCTCTCTTATAAAACCCAAAGTTATTCCAAACCCTGGATTTGCAGTTATTTGGTGGAAGATGCAGCTCTACCTCTGCCATGTTAATATATGATCTATGTGACTCTCAGGACACGCCTCGGTCTCTGTAGTGTTGAGATGCATCATATTCACGCAGCAGCAGCGGGGATGAGAGAACGTGCTTGAGAAACGGCTTCGAGAGGAGAAAATACTGTATAATAATTACATGTAAATAAACTAGTTTTTACCGATGCAAATGTTAAAAACAATGCATCGCCATACAAATGCCGACTTGTATCCGACGCACACTTTTATAAATTGATGCATTGCATCGTTAACTTTTATGCTGATGCACCGATGCGATTTGGTGAATATTACCATCCCTAATAGGTATGACTGGGCTGTTTTAAATATTTAAGAAAATAATTAATGTATTATAGAGTTGTTTGGGTTGGGGGTAAATGAAACACGATCTGCGGTGACGTCATAATCATGTTGCATTGTGGTCTATGGATCGACCTGCAGTGTGCATATGAAGCAGACTCACTGTCTCAGTCAAGATCGAGGGGTCGAGGCTCTGTCCATATAAACTTCTCTCGTCCACTTCATGAGGAGTAACACACTTCAGAATGGCAGCAGGATTCACCTGAGAGTAAGTGCTTAGGGAAGTTCACGAGTGTGTGTCTAAAAGGGAAGTGGTAGTTATAGAAACTCAGTTACAGGAACTAGTTACCAGTGCGGTTCCCAGACAACTAATGGCGCTTTTCCACTGCATGGTACGGCACGGTACGCCTCGGTACGGTTCACTTTTGGGGGTTTTCCACTGGGTACAGTACCTGGTACCTGGTACTTTTTTTAGTACCACCTCGGTTGGGGTTCCAAGTGACCCTCATCTCTTGATCATGAACAGAGTATTATTGTCTGCTCTCAGTTGTGATAGAGCGAGTGAACATGTCCGTGCCAAAGCTCTGGAGTCTCCATCACATTCTCCTGCTGTCTGTATTCACCGGCGCAGGTGAGAGAAATGGGCTTTACTAACTGACACTGAAGAAATGAGCATTATTACAGTAGTAGTGCTGGTGTGGATATATTGGTGTTTTTGGTATTTAACAGTGTTGGTAAGATTTAACAGCAATATTTTCTTTTTAAATGCTGTTAGTTAGGATGGTTCTCTGCTAGTGGATCCTCCAATGTAGTTAAGTATAGGTACAGATATTTTAATAATATGAACATGATGTTTTAGAAAGGACATTCTATTAATAACAACAACTGGCTGATGTGTTCAAGTGCTTGTGTTTTTGTTTGATTGTTTTCCAGCTAATGGATATTATAACTACCATTGGCCACAGTGCATCTACAGCTCCAGTGATTTCAGTGACATGGTGTTCTTGGATGGCTATTACTTCAATAAATATCTGTACGTACAGTTCAACAGCACTGTGGGGGAGTTTGTGGGGTTTACTGAGTTTGGAGTGAGAACTGCAGAGATGTGGAACAAAGATCCAGCAATCATACAGCAATTAAAGGCTGAAGTTGAAACATTCTGTAAACCTAATGCTGAACTGTTCAAAACCGCTATCCATGATAAAGCAGGTATGTGACTCAAGACTCACACAGAGCTCTTCATTTAAACGGTTATATAATTTTTAAAGGAAAATATGTATCTAATATCAAGCACATTTTAAATGGTGTAATGGTAATGTTTATTGTAAGATGTAATTGTGGCTCCTCCTGGTTCAGTGGCTCCAGTTGTGAAGCTGAGTTTAGTGAAGCAGGGAGACAGCAGACATCCATCGCTGCTGATGTGCAGTGCGTATGACTTCTACCCTGAGCAAATCAGTGTGTCCTGGCTGAGGGACGGTGTAGTGGTGACTTCTGACGTGACCTCCACTGACAAGATGCCTAACGGAGACTGGTACCACCAGATTCACACTCAGCTGGAGTACACTCCCAAAG